GGGGAGGGGGAAGGAGGAGGAGGAGGACAGCTGGGATGTAGCTCAGTGCTAGAATGCTCCTGGGTTTGATCACCAGCACCAAGAAGAAAAAGAAAAAAAAAAGAGTACACTCAAATAGTCTAAATTGGGTGTTAGAGTGGGAATAAAGATTCTTTTTCACACCCCACCCCATCCCCACACTTCTGAATGAGTTCAAGGAACATCCAGGTTTAGGGATTTCTATGTAAAAATTTACATGGAAAGGGACTAAAGAATCCATTACAACGTGCAGCTTTTACTCTTTGCAAAAATGTGATCATACCTGTGGTCCTTTGTGACCTTCCCACAAGCTCTGGGGTGCCCAGGCAGGGATCACCACCTCCTTTTCACCGGTCACAAAGCTGAGGCCCCGGAGAATCAAGTGATTCCCCCACTACCACCGACAGGCCAACAGCCAAGGGTCACATGCCTGCTGGGGGGCAGGGCTATGATTAGAACACAGACCTCTGAACTCTGGCTGCTAGACTTCTCCCCTCTACACAAACCAGATAAACCCAAGTTCCAGGAAGTCCAAGGCCAAGGCTGTGGGGAGGGAGTGAGAGGTGGGAGAGAAAGAGGAACAAACACGTGGATGTCGTGGTGCAGGGAGATGGTATCCTGGCCACAGTGAAAGACTCTAGCTGTCTCAGGGCTTGGAGAGAACACATGGCTTTCATAGGCTGTCACATGAGGCCCCTGGAGACCCATTTTCTCTTGTGTGCCTCAGTCTCCCCCTCTGCCAAATGGGGCTGAAAACCCATGCCTGTTCCCCACAAGATGCTTAGAGAATATAATGCCTTCTAAAATCCCAAGTTATTATCATTGTTGTCCAGGGAAAGTGTACCCCGCCCCCCGGAGGTCCTCAGAGACAGAGTAATCGGGCCTCTCATTCATGGAAGGGCCACTTGGAGCATCCGTGTGCCTGGCACTATGGTGGGCACTGCACACCACTGTTTTAGAGCTCACCACGGTCCAGAAGGGTCCTTGCTGCCAATGCCACCACCTTACAGATGAAGAGATGGATGCTCAGGGGAATTGAGCTGTGACCCATTCTATAGCGTGTTCACTCAACTTTTCCTGAAAGAGCTGGGCCAGGCTCTGGGCCAAGGGCTGAGAAGAAGATGAACAAGTCCTTCAGGAGACGTGCCCATAAATTACTTTAATAACAACCCAGTACATGCTTCAACAGACAAGGTGCAGTGGGAGCCAGAGGGAGCAACTGGCTCTCTGGAAACTGTAAGAACAGAGATCTGACGTCCCCGGGTACCCTGCATTGCTGAGGGGCTCCGTGCCCCGTGGAGATGCGGCAATCGTAAGGCCTGGGTTCGGGTCTGACTTCAGTCAAGCCTTCGCTGTGCATTTCTAGGAAACCTCTTTGGCTCCTGAGGCTCAGTATCTATCTGGAAAACCAAGAGGTTAGGGGGCCTGAGATCCCTGCCCTACCTTCATCGCACTTTCTGGTGTTCATGCACTGGCCTGCTCTAGCCTGGAGTCTAAGACCCTGAAAGGCAGGCTGAACCCCTAACTGCCAAACTTGCCATCACAGCAGTCAGCCAGGGGCACCGCCAGAACCTAAGAGACCCGGCTCCGATAGTGGGCGGGGCTTAGGTCCAGATGGGGGTGCGCGGCCCAGCTCAAAAGCGGTTCATCTAGCCAATGAGAGCCGGGGGGGGCGGGGTGTCCAGCCTCTAGTATAAAGTAGTCTCTGGACCTGCGAACCTGGGTACTCAGGTCTTGTAGCCCAGCTCCTTCAGGTACGCGGTAGGCTCGCGGTCCGTGGAGTGCGCAGCAGCGCGGAAAGCGGCGCGGAGCGTCCTGGGCAGGGCAGGGAAAAGGGTCAGATTCAGTTTTCCTCTGCCT